TTTACGGGAGGCAAAACACAATATTCATTTTCTTTGTCAATAATATGCCTAGAACACTGCTTCCATAGGTCTGTGGCAGCAATATGAGATACTGCATCTCTTATTGTGGCCAATAGCGATTCACTTAATTGAGGGGTCTGATTATGTTTTCTTACTTTGTTTTTTAAAGCAGCCCAGACCAACTCAATCGGGTTAAAAATGCAGTAATAGGGAGGTAGACGTAATACGTCATGGCCATTTTGCTGAAGCAGATTGTCAACAACATACTCTTTTTCAAATTTTTGTCATTTAATAAGATCCAGTAACATGGCTTTGGTTGATTTTTGTGGTATTTCCATTCCCTTATCCTTCATAAAATCAATAATGTCTTGTTTTTTTGTGCCTGTATTCGGAATTTTGTTTTTCTGTCGGGAATGGTATGGCGCATTGTCCATAATAATCACTGAATTTGGGGAAATGTTTGGTATTAACTGCTGCTCTATCCACTTTTCAAATAAGTCGGAGGTCATGTCCTCATGATAGTCGGCACATGATTCTTTGATATTTTTGGCAGATAACAGCAAGGCATTAGGTATAAATCCATTTTCACTGCCAGCATGGAGAATAATGATTCGTCTTCCACGGTTGCATGGTGCATTTAAAATGCACTTGTTGCTGTCGTCAACCCAGCCGTACTGCACAACATCATGGGTATCATACCACGTTTCATCCAGGTAAATCAGATTTCTTTTCTGCTCTCTATAGATTTTAACTTTGTGCAAAAATTCTTGGCGCAATTCAACGATTCGAGACGACTCCATAACCACCATTCTTTTATCCAATTTTTTGTATTGAAAACCACACAGTTTTACAATACAGTGTAGTGAGTCTAAGCATTTGTAATTATAAAAATCTTCAGGATAATCTTTTAATTTATCCCGTATCATTTCCAACGTGGGCACCAAATTTTCTTTATAAAATCCGTATATTATACGACGAATATCTTCCTGAAAACCCACGTCTATTCTTTTTAATTTTTGCCCTATGCGCTTTCTGTGGAAGGAATGGTTGACTACATCTCCCCTTTTTATAACCCGATAAATTGATAAAAAATGATAAATTCTGTTTAAAATTTGATTTTGCGAGGAATCTGGATTTTCGTTTTTCAGACAATCATACATATTTAGGATTACTCTTTGGGTCTGTTCCTCTAAATCTTTATGAAAGAATTCTGCCTGCACAGGTTCATCAACCATCTCCTCGTGGCTTGGAGCATTTTCCCAAGGTCTCCAAAGAGCCATATTTAGGACACACAAGAACAATCAACACAACAATTAAATCAACAAGTAAACTGAGTATTCAAAAGTCAAAAACACACAAACTAATAAAATCTATGAAAAAACACGGACAGACTAAAGAAAACACGTTTATTCACCGCTACACGGCACTGGCTAAACTGTTTCAATTTTCAGTAGCCACCTGCACTTGTTCAGAGCTCTGAAATACACGCTTTCTCATTGGCTATGTCCACGCATAGGCGTGCTTTACTCCACGTGGACCGGTGAAACTGCCTTTGATCTTATACGGGGGATATTTGCTGCGAAATTTGGCGATTTTTGCAGCAACAGAGCGTGTTAAATATAGATATATAAAACGCACCCGGTATTTCACAGTGTTTCAAGTGACTTCAGATAAAGTATACCATAATTATTTCTGTAGCCTGGGAAAATTATATCTATACAGGATATTAGTAAAGTACCTGGCCAAATTTCAAGATGTGGTTGCTTGGGCAAGTAGGTTGCAGGTGCACTCCCAACACAATTTCTCCACCAGCTCATAGAGGATTATGTTCGGCTCTGAGAAAAAGGTTATGTACGAGCATGGATAGCACAAAGTCAGTCAAACAGGCCCATACAATTAGATCCTAGTCCCCACCCATATGACAACCTTGCGAAATGTTTCCCTTACCCTACCCACAGTATCGAACATCTGGCACCGTTGCTATGAGTAACCTCGCCACTCGCTAACCACCCGTCGGCAGACATGGGATAGACTTCAAAGAACATTCATTGCGTTGCTATAATGAGATTACTGAAAATATACCACTATCATTCCAAGTATTAGGTGCACATGTACATGTACCAACCCCCCATCATCAATTTTCAGCCCCTACAATTTATTTTCCGGAATTTCTGACACTTCAAAAACTGAAGTTAGAGTATTTACCATTTTCTCTGGCGAAGTCGTAACCTTTTGTTGGAATTTGGTACTTTCTAAGTTCTAACGAGGTCAACGATTAGAGGAAAGATAGGCAGGCAGATACACCCATTTTCGTAATTTTCCGCCATCACAATATTCCCTCGCCAGTTGCACCGGAAAGTAAATGCAAACATAGCTCCAAAGGTCATTTGAGGCCTTCGCATTTTTTTTTTATTTGATTTAGTTCAAATCACAAAACTTCTTTGTCTTTACCAAAATATCAAATAATGAGGTGTCACTTAAATTCGGTCCTGGAAATAAGACGATGTTGAAATTACTTTAGAAAAACTGGACATCCGATGTATCTTTCTGAAATCATCAAACCCCCTTTTGTGGACTCACATACAGTTTTTTTTGGATCCCTATCTTAAATATTATACTGCAGATTCAACAATCCCTTCTTCAGAAAACATAGCCGCAAACCCTCATTCTACAAAATTACATGCTTCAAAATATCACGTTGTCGACAATAAAAACCAAGCTTTTTCAAGTTGACGAATGATATAATCATTCCGCAAACATGACCAAAGAAAAAGCAAAGTAATTTCCACCTAAAATTTTCCCCCTGTCTCTAGATTTGCTCCGTTCTAATGCGGAGTCCTCACCCTTTTATCCCGTCTTTTTCATATTTTCGTAATTATCCAGCATCTTTCCAGAAAAATTAAGGTCAAAACAACAGACGCTCGGGCTGCCTGTCTTCCAGAGGCGTAGTCTTGGTTAAAACGAAGAGTGTCACGTTTCGTCGGTCTGTTGGTCTGTCTGCTGATCCTTAGCATTTCTGGTTTTGGATGAATTTTAAAAAAAAACCTTTCTGAAGATCCTGATCATTTCTGAAAAAAAATTACATCGTACACAACCGAACACGAACACTTTTTTCTAGTTCAAGATACACTTTATAAGAAATCGACCATATTTATTAGATCCATTACTTCAAAGACGCCATTGGTTGAATTTGCGACCCACGTGATCCTTGGGCCCAGGCTTAGTTAAATCTGGCTTGATACAAGTGTTATAGGTATTTTCCGGGCTTTTTCCGGGTCGGGAAAAACTGCAAGAACTACAGGCCTCTTGTGCGGAAATTTGTTTTGCGTTTTATCCACAACGTGCTTGTCTTCAGCGTGCGAGTTGAGTTTACCTTGGTTAATCTCCGAACATAGCCATATCTAAAGATACAAGTACAACGTCGACAGTCTGTGTGAAATTTTGAATTATCTTCAGAAGATTTACGGAAAGAATGGTCTTCTGTTATATAATTCATGTGTGTGTGCAAGAGCAAGGTAGCAGCAGAAGGTTTGCGCGGTGTAGAATTTCCGTGGGAAGTGCTACAGATGAGTTGATAATGCGACATAACCACCACAGGCTGTATCCCATTTAGCTCAGCATAAATGTAGCCGTCTCTAAACATTTTCTCTCATCTGGCATCAATGCATGGCCGTCTCCTTGACCTATAATCGAGCTGCTAAACCAAGAGCGGATTTTTTGTTCTGTGAATCAGAAATTCATAGATTCACAGAAGGATACTATACTAATGGAGAGTACTTCAGAACTGCACTCTGGTGAATAGTTAAAACCACCTCCAAAGTTTTGCTTGAACATAAGCACAGTTCTTGTCTCGACGTCTATGCATTTGAGGATTCTTTGAAAGCCGTGGAGCACAATGCTGCCTCTCGCCATTTTATAGCGATATTACGTTGATGTATTAGGGAAAAAACTTCGCTCATTCGTTAGCGGGAGCGTTAAAACAAATAAGACGTATCCTCGCACATCCTAAAAGTAACAGTCCGCGTTATTTTCGCGGAAATTTGCTCTAAACTTGGCTCTGATTTATTGCCGGGTATCATTTTGATAGCTTACTTTCAAAACAACTTAAGACGGTATATCAGAGGATGGAACATCCCTAGTTTGAAAAGATGAAAGTTCAGAACGGATATTTCAGGAAATGAAGAATTGGAAAACAGGGTAATTTGTTACCAGGGGCTCTTAGTTTACTGTTTGAAAAGATGGAAAGTATTATAAGTACCATGGGCGGATCTTCACATCTGCTACTCTCTCTAGTACGCCTGAAGTGGGGAACAGGGGACCGCTGTTTACATTCTCTTCCTGGAAATACTCTAATAAATTTAGCACGAGCTAAGTTGTCACTCTGACAAATATGATTGAAGGGCACTCATACGTAACGACAAAAATTTCGAGACGGATACACACAACTAAAAAACGTATGTCTTTGAGGTTACCGATAAAACGTTCACACAGAGGGGTAGGTTGCATGTATATGTATGAGAGAGATGGATATATATATAAAGGGTTACTGGTAGTCTTACTTTGACACGCCAAGAACGGTGACTACAACTATAGAATGATTTTCTATACCCTCCTTGAAACTGAGTCCAGTCGCGGTGGCATCAGATTTACTCACCACCATTCCGATATCAACCTTGTCGCTGCTTGTCGCATGGGTGAGAACTGGGGACGAATTTGGTTCTTTCAGATAATGTCATTCCCGAACGGTATGTAAGTGACATCGTCTATGTGATCCATTTGTTCTACATATTCTTTGTTGACTTGTCCCTGAAAGGGGCTAATTTATGCTTTACATAATTTTCTAATACAGTCTAAGAAGCGTTCGTGTAACTCTGGAAGGAGATTCGATTAATTCCAAGTAGAAAATCCAAGAAAACATGTATCCAGGCATGCGCTGACGGTTCGCTTCTATAGCCCAGGGTTGATAATTCTACGAATTTTATGATTTTATCCTGTTGTAGATGTAGAGAGAATCCAGTGCGGTTTAAAATCGGAGGATTGTCAGTTGATCTCAAGGGAGGTATAAAGAGATCTTAGCAGAGGATATTTTTTGTTATTGCAACCAGGAAATAATAAATTCACAAAAGAATATGGAAAAGATGGAGAATATTGCAGACCTAAATTACGGTGACTCCGGCGTATAATTAAGGAAACTCGCGTTTGGAGACGAACCTTACTAACGCTTTGAATGTCCCTAAACTATCTGCGACAACATTTGAGACCATCTACGGGCAAAAAGGCGCATTTGTTGCCGAAAAGCTAAAGTTGGCGTGAAGTTTCGAAGTAAAATGCAGGCAATTTTGTTGATGAGGGTTGAAAATTACCCACGACAAATTGATGCGGGTCAAGGACAGTGCCTGCACCTATTGGGATATTTTAGTGTTAAGTTCTTCAGCTGATTGGGGCTTTGAAATCATTATGCCCAACCACACACGGCGGCAGCAGATTTTGTGGTTGTTTTTGTTTATATTTGACGTAATGGTGTTGTGTAATTTCCACAGAAACCCTGGACGTTACCAATGATGGAAAAGGAAAGAGAAGTTGAGGTGTCTTGGAAATATATCGAAGTAGAATATATATGTATCAGGCTCGCTGTTCTGGTTCTCCACATGCACTTGCTTTCTGTGGGCTTGGAAAAATATGGTATTCCTGCTTGTCTGACGCTTAGCTGTTGACCTCAATACTATAACTAAGTGGTTGGTGTTTTGCTTATCGCTGTCTTCGTTTTTATTTATATCGAGAGTGTTGGTTGTTATTTATGTTGTTTAAGGTTTCCAAATAAATTCCCAGTACCTAAACCATACCAGTTTATTGGAGGTTTGTAAACAAAAGTTGTCTAAGAAAACGAGATGTGAGAAATTTTGAGGAAAGGCTACAACCACTTTTGCCAGTACCGATAAGTAAAAAAATGCATATAATGGTAATGAAACACTGGTGTTTTTATTACAAAATAATTGATGACCCAGCTACCTTTCATAATGTCAATAAATTGTCTTCCAGCTAATGTAGTATATGGACGATTATATGAATACGGTATTATTTTTCTAGGTACTCTCTGCATTGCATTTCTTAGCTAGTGGAAGCTACCAACTTGACGAAGACAGAAATTATACCGTAACTCCTAGCCGGCCGTCTACCTCAACCGAAAGTATGTAGGTAACATTGGAAAAAGCACTGTCGCCAGGCAAATTGAGCACAAAGCTTTCGCACATGAACGTGAAAACCTAAACCAAAAGCTAGACACATTTTCCGTACAACACCATTCGCAAAGCGTTTTGAAAACATTGAAAGCGATTCCAAGCTAAAGAACGAGTATACTGGTCCAGGGGAATCATCCTCGTCAAGTATGGTCGTCAACCAAATTTTCTGGGAGCTTACGTAGCAGTGTGTATTTTCAATATACCCTTCCCCACCCACCTAAAATCCCCCCACCTCCTACAAATCCCGCCCCCCACAAACCCCGCCCTTCCAACCCAACCCCTATAAACACCACAATCTGAAAGCACCACCCCCTTACAAGGCACACCCCCACAAACCTCAACACCCACAACCTCTAGCCGCCTAAAATGTTTTTAAAAAATGATATGAATACTCCGATTTTAATTTTTCTCGTTTTTGTTGTTTTTCTCCGCCGTCTCTTGATCGATTTTCAAAAACTATGGAGCTTTTTTGTCCTTGGCATAGTAGTAACCTTGTGTAAAAATTTCATTCAAAATACATTAGAACTTTATAAAGGGCACAAGGATTACAGGACAGACCGACAAACAGACGGACTGTCAGACCGATTGAAATGATTTTTTTTTAATCCAAATACATAATTTCTCATTTTAGAAATTTTTTGCGATCACAATACTTCCTGCCCCAGTGGTTTAGGAAGTAGAAAGGTGCATGAATTTGTTTAATCTGGGATTAAAACTTGGTGACCCTATGGCAGTGCCTATAGTAAAGAGCATCGAGTAATTGAAGTATTTTTCGTAACTATTCGCATACAATATTGTAAGACAACTAAAATAGACAGTTAAATGTAATAAAAACATTCATCTTTCCTCTACTGTCCTCTGATTTAACCCTGAGCAAATATATACTAAGTGACATATAAATCCGAACACCCAGTTTAAATGGTTTTATTTTAATAAAAGTTGGTGAATGTATCTATCTTGCTGTAAATAATAAGTGAAAAAATTTTCAGCCTTATCAGTTGGACATTCCGGTTTTTATACTGCTTTTTTTTAATTCACTAACGCTCTAAAAATGAATATTTCAGCCGCAGTAAAGAATCAACGTTGGCGGATTTTGGTTCTTGACATCCTTTCCGATCTGTTACGATGCCTAGATTACGGAGACCTGTACGATTTCGTCAACTTAGTGAGTTTGATAGGGGCCGTATAGTGGGACTTCGGGAAGCTGGACTTTCTTTTCGGGCAATTGCAGTTAGAGTGCAAAGAAGTGGTATTGTCAGGCATGGCTTCTAGAACGCCGTACGCAAAGAGCAAGGGGCACTGGACGCCGCCGTAGAACAACAGTCCGTGAAGATCGCCGCCTAAGATTATTGGCCTTAAGGGACCGTTTCTCCACTACCAGGTCCATTGCAAATGAATGGTTTGCAGAACACGGAAGACCTATTGGCATGCGAAGTGTTTACCGACGAATGAGAAGTTTTGGCTTGTTTTCATACCGGCCGCACTGGGTCCTCCCTTTAACTCGAGAACACCGACGTAATCGCCTTGAGTGGTGCAGACAACGGTCACTCTGGGATCAGGAATGGAACAGTATTGTCTTTAGTGACGAGTCTCGATTTTGTTTAGGCATGCACGATGGTCGTGCCAGGGTTAGAAGGCGACGTGGTGAAAGGAGGAATCCACAGTTTTTTGTTGAAAGACATGTTCATCACACTGTTGGAGTTATGGTTGGGAGTGCTATAGTTTATGGTTCCAGGTCACCTTTAATCTTCATCAGAGGTAACATGAACGCGCAGCGTTATATCCACGAAGTTCTAGAACCCCATCTTTTACCCTATGTTGACACCCTGACAGATCCAACTTTCCAACAAGATAATGCCCGACCACATGTTGCAAGAGTCACAATAGACTTCTTTCAACATAATGATGTCACATTGTTACCATGGCTACCAAGATCTCCCGACTTATCCCCAATTGAGCACGTGTGGGATATGATGGGTAGGAGATTGCTCAATTTGCAACGTCCTTCTCAGACTCTAGAAGCACTTCGAGAGGAGTTGGTGGTTGCCTGGAATGAGATACCACAGGAGGACATTGACCACCTGATCAGAAGCATGCCTAGGCGCGTTGGAGAATGCGTAGCACATCAGGGTGCATCCACACATTAATAAAGGTCAAAGGGCTTTAAAGCAGTGCAATCATTTTGAAATTTTTATCATTTACTTATTATGCTTCATTAAGTACTTATACAAAATTTTATTAAAATAAAACCATTTAAACTGGGTGTTCGGATTTATATGTCACTTAGTATACTTTTATGTAGGAGATCAATGCACTTCCAATCGATGCAACAAAATTGTAGTATTGTGGTTAACGACCACAGACTGTAATATTCGAATGGCGGTAATAATACTCCGATCATCAGGACATTATCTACCGTTCGGAGCTGAAATCGACCCCGTTTTGTAATAAAAAGTCCATTAGGGCCCATTCGTGTTATGATTTATATTTTCCTGACATAAGTCACGTTTGCGAAATTGTCTTTCGCGGAAACGAGAGATCGGAGATTTGTTATGGCCGCTTATTTGTTGCTCCACAGAGCTCCGTGATAATCAACGAAAAGGTAACTCGCTGATATAAGTGCTCTTAAGATAGAGAACGGTTATCTTGAAATGAGGATGTCGTATGTTCAATGTTTTCTAGTAACCCAGCCTCGGTGATAGAGCTTTGCGAGGCCCCTCCTATTTCCCAGTCAAAAATGGCGTCAAGTAGGTCTACTCTTAGTCCCTCTTAGAAAAACTTATCTACGAACATGTAAAACAAAGGAATAAAATCGTCAACTAGACAGCTATTCCAACAACCTATTATACTGCAACCGTTTACACATCATCCATTTTTTGGCGATCCATCTTAACAGAACAACAAAATATTAAACATGATTTTTGTTTGTAACTGTAACTGAAGTTTACAATTTTAAAATATTTTGTGCAGGTATAACCGTATAACAATTTTTTGTCGTAACTGTAACAGAATTTTATAATTTCAAATATTTCATGACGTTATAAACAGTATAACAATTTAAACATTTTTTACGTAACTGAAGCTGAACATACTCAATGATACGAAAAAAATTGGGACGATGAGTCATCTACTTATTTGTACAACTTAAACTCATTATTTTAATACCCTGTATAATAATGGCTTGAAACTGACGTTTTTGGGAAGGGTGGTCGTTTAGTTGAAAAAAGTGCTATCATTTGACATCGTTAAATAGTCGTTCAGTACAGGATTACGTTTGTAAATCACTTCGTAATATAATACCGCATACAGTAATGGAATAATAATAATAATAATTTATTTTTCTTTAGACAAACAAAGTTTGTGTAGAAATATTCAAGAGATCAGTTATATACAGAGATACAACAAAACTATAAATAAAACAAGGTAATGAACAACATTTACACAATGATAAAGTCGCAGACATTATATAAACATTTATGCATTCAAAACTCTTTCAAATAATATACTAAGTGACATATAAATCCGAACACCCAGCTTAAATGGTTTTATTTTAATAAAAGTTGGTGAATGTATTTATCTTACTGTAAATAACAAGTGAAAAAATTTTATCAGTTGGACATTCCGGTTTTTATACTGCTTTTTTTTAATTCACTAACGCTCTAAAAATGAATATTTCAGCCGCAGTAAAGAATCAACGTTGGCGGATTTTGGTTCTTGACATCCTTTACGATCGGTTACGATGCCTAGAGTACGGAGACCTGGACGATTTCGTCAACTTAATGAGTTTGATAGGGGCCGTATAGTGGGACTTCGAGAAGCTGGACTTTCTTTTCGGACAATTGCAGTTAGAGTGCAAAGAAGTCTAGACACTGTGGTTAGGTGTTGCCAGGCATGGCTTCGAGAAGGCCGTACGCAAAGAGCGAGGGGCACTGGACGCCGCCGTAGAACAACAGACCGTGAAGATCGCCGCCTAAGATTATTGGCCTTAAGGGACCGTTTCTCCACTATCAGGTCCATTGCAAAGAATGGTTTGCAGAACACGGAAGACCTATTGGCATGCGAAGTGTTTACCGACGAATGAGAAGTTTTGGCTTGTTTTCATACCGGCCACACTGGGTCCTCCCTTTAACTCGAGAACACCGACGTAATCGCCTTGAGTGGTGCAGACAACGGACACTCTGGGATCAGGAATGGAACAGTATTGTCTTTAGTGACGAGTCTCGATTTTGTTTAGGCATGCACGATGGTCGTGCCAGGGTTAGAAGGCGACGTGGTGAAAGGAGGAATCCACAGTTCTTTGTTGAAAGACATGTTCATCACTCTGTTGGAGTTATGGTTTGGGGTGCTATAGCTTATGGTTCCAGGTCACCTTTAATCTTCATCAGAGGTAACATGAACGCGCAACGTTATATCCACGAAGTTCTAGAACCCCATCTTTTACCCTATCTTGACACCTTGGCAGATCCAACTTTCCAACAACATAATGCCCGACCACATGTTGCAAGAGTCACAATAGACTTCTTTCAACATAATGATGTCACATTGTTACCATGGCCACCAAGATCTCCCGACTTATCCCCAATTGAGCACGTGTGGGATATGATGGGTAGGAGATTGCTCAATTTGCAACGTCCTCCTCAGACTCTAGAAGCACTTCGAGAGGAGTTGGTGGTTGCCTGGAATGAGATACCACAGGAGGACATTGACCACCTGATCAGAAGCATGCCTAGGCGCGTTGGAGAATGCGTAGCACATCAGGGTGCATCCACACATTATTAAAGGTCAAAGGGCTTTAAACCAGTGCAATCATTTTGAAATTTTTATCATTTACTTATTATGCTTCATTAAGTACTTATACAAAATTTTATTAAAATAAAACCATTTAAAATGGGTGTTCGGATTTATATGTCACTTAGTATACTTGGTTGATGTGATTTTGATTTGCTATTCCTTGTGTACGAGGGATGTCTTTTAAGTTTTGCATATGGAAATAAAACAACACGGTAGGTAGTTTTAAATGACTTTATTGTTCTTCGAAGTATTCTCCACGAAGATTAATACACATCTGCATGCACTCGAACCAATTTTCGAAGCACTTATTCCACTCGTTTGCTGGCAGATCCAAAACGGCATTTTTAAATGCGTCAACTGCTTCTTCTGGTGACTGTACGCTTTGACCACGCAGTCTGTTTTTAATTGTCGGGAAAGTAAAGAAATCGTTAGACCTTAGATCGGGACTATATGGAGGATGGTCCAATAATTCCACGTTTTCTTCCGTTAAATACTGCCTTGTTTTTTGGGCTGTGTGCGAGCTTGCATTGTCTTGGTGGAGGATGATTCTTCTTCCGGAGTTGATTTTTCGAAGCTCGGTGATGATCTTTGGTATATCAATCCGCAGTAACAGTTCTTTGCTCATTAAGAGGAATTGTTGCAATATGACCCGCTTTTGACACAAATGTCGCGACCACCTTTTTCGAAACACTTCGAGAACGGATGACTTTTGTTGGCTATTCTTCACCTTGGAACACCCAAACAGCCGACTGTCGTTTATTTCCTGGTTCATAACAGTAAATCCACGATTCATCACCACTAACAATTCTGTACACATTTTTTGAGTTTCCGAAATTGAAACGGTCAAGCGTTTTTTGACACCAATTAATCCTGGCTGGCTTCTGCTCTTCAGTCAACAGGTAGGGTATCCAACGAGAAACTAATTTTCTTACTCCTAATTCTTCATGTAAAGTTTTTTGAATTGAGATCTTTGAGATCTTCAAGGACACCTCAATCTTGCGATATGTCACATGTCTATCTTCAATGATGAGTTTACGCACAGCATCGACGTTTTCCTGGGTGACTACCGTCTTTGGTGCACCCACCCTGGGATCGTCGCTAAGACTCACCCGTCCACGTTTGAATTCTCCATACCAACGGGAAATTGTCGACTGATGTGGCGTTTCGTTACCGAAAACAGACAGTAACTCAGCAAGGCATTCTTGTTGCGATAATTGTCTCTGAAAGTTGTAACAAATTATGGCGCAAAAATGTTCTCGGTTGAGTTCCATTTTTCTAATAACTTGGTGAAACTTAAAACTTCACTGTAGTGAGAACACTGCACGTATTGTTGTGAAACTTTAAATTTAAGGTCACTAAAGGGTGAGGTTAAGATTCAGTACTGATGTTCGATTCGCGCGGCCTACTATGTTCCTATAGGAAAAACTTAAAAGACATCCCTCGTATCTTTTGGAAGGATGTTGAAGATTTTGGGACTAAGTATATTTGGCGATTTATTTCCTACTTTAAATTTAGATGTGTAGATTGACATATGAAATTTTCCTCTGGAATACTATGATGCGGCCATAAAAACCCTTGAATATAATAATAATAATAATAATAATAATAATAATAATAATAATAATAATAATAATAATAATAATAATAATAATGTTTATTTGCAACATACACCAAGGTGTAGGTAAAAAAGGGCTGAAGGCATTAAAAATGATACAAGTTCAGCCCTTTACCTATTACAAATTCATATATACAGGGTGTCCGCAAAGTTGGGGTTTTCCTGTTCAGAAACAACTACCCTTGAAATAACAAAGGTAATGTCTAGTGAAACGAGGGCGACCAAGTAAAAAAAATAAAGGAAAAAGTACTCACTCTCCAGTTGACGAGAAGGGCTAAGTACGTCTCTGCCCGCTCCAACAGAAAATGAAATCAGCTGAAGCGCTACCGAGGAGACGCAGAAACCACATTGATTGTCTTACACTTAATGGCACATCTTCTAACAAGGAAGGCAAAATGTTGCGTGAAAAGTCTAGGTATTGCATCCCGTCCAATCGATTTGGGAGAATAAATGGTCCAATGAGCATACCGTTCACCATGCCAGCCCAAACATTCACCGAAAATATTTGTTGAAAATGACCAAACATGAGTGTTGCGAAAGTTATTCACCTCATTACGCGTGAACGTAGATTCGTCTGTCACCAATATGCACTTCAAAAAGTCCGGATTATTGTCATGTTGATGCAACAACCACTCACAAAACCGCACTCTTGCTGGAAAATCGTCAGGTTGAAGGGCTTGTACACGTTGGACGTGAAACGGATATAGCCCCTCTTCACGCAGCGTTTGCCACACTTTAGTTTTTGATACTTGCACTCCTCTAGCCACGTCTCTAGTGCTTGTTGTTTTTTGAAACGCAATCGATTATACGAGTTCGTTTACCTCTACACGCGTGACTGTAACCGTCGGTTAAAGGTTGCATACTAACCTGACACACTGACCCCGACCCAGTTCTGCTGCCGTCGGGTTGAGACCTTGTACCAGTCGGGGATATCCCGGCGGGTCGCGGCTACAGGACGGTATTCAGATATTTTTGATGTTGCAGAGCCCTTTATCTCGGTTCCCTTAAGACATTGGTGTATATGGTACTAAGAAAAGTTGCTTATGTTTTCAAGATCTACACGTCGTGTAAAGGAAAACCCCAACTTTGCGGACACCCTGTATACATATACATACACATTCATACACATATATACTTGCATACACAAACATACATATATAAAAAGAAAGATCTACCTTAGAAAGCCTCCAATAATAGGTTTAGAATAATAAAGTTATAGTACAAAAAAAAATTCCTTTTTCATTAGGTTCGTCGCTTGTACCTCACTTACATTAATGTACGCGTGTAGTGTTTTTCAAAAATAAATGTTTTATATTTGATTTTTAACTGGTTTGGATTCAGAATCTTAAATTCATTAGGAATTTGATTGTAAAGCCGGTAAATGTTGTATGAGAAGGATCTACAAAAAAAGAGAAGTTTGATGAGGAGAAGGTGATATGTAGCCCCGAAACCGCAAATTTAAGTTATGAACATCGGTGCGAAAAGTTATTCTATTGAATTAATATGGTGGTTGCTTAAAAAACATGATTTTGTGAAAAATATTACATGCATGCAACTCACATCGACATCGCATATTCAACCAGTTTGCATCAAGCAACTTATGTGAAACTCTTTCAAACTTAAGTATACCATAAATAAATCGTAGGCAGGACTTCTGTACACGTTCAATTCTATCCATGTCAATCTTGTCTAAACAAAACCCATAAACGCTGTTACAAAAATTAAAATGGCTGAGTACTAGTACTTCACGAAGCAATATTTCAAGTTTAACTGGAAGGACATATCGTTGAGCATTTAGAACTTTTAGAGAAGCATAAGCTTTCTGGATACATTTTTTAATATGAGGCTTAAATCGTAGATATGAGTCAAATTCTACTCCCAAATTTCTCACAGTGGCAGAACAAGGTATAGATTCACTTTTTCACATGAAAAGTGGGCTCAATATTGTGTTTCAATCTGCGAAATAACTTGAGCTGTGATTTGCTTGCATTAATTTGTAGACCATGATTTTCCGAAAATCCAACTAACCTTTCGATATCTCGATTAATAATGGCCAATGCATCACGTTTCTCGTTAGGATTGAAAGAAAAATAGAGCTGAGTATCGTCAGCATACAAATGTACCTGACAACTTCGGAGACATTGGGAAAGGTTTGAGGTATAAATACTAAAAATCAGAGGTCCTAAAATGGTGCCTTGTGGAATACACGATCGGGTGACATCTTTGGAGGACATACCTTTATCTGTTTCTACATATTATGTTCTGTTAGTTAAATAGTGGCATATAAGCGTGCTAGCAGATTCAGAGAACCCCAGCATTTCGTGATTTAGTTTATCAAATGCCTTGGAGTAGTCCAAGAGCACGAGAGCGGTGGTTTTTCCGGAATGTGTTGCTTTGAAGATGTCGTCAGTTACATTTAACAGTGCAGTTTCGCAGCTGAATCCTTTCCTAAATCCCGATTGATGGTCTGGTAACAAATTGTTCTCAGTTAAATAATCTCTTATTTGTTGGTCCAGTATAATCTCCATTAGTTTTGATAGCACTGTTAAAATACTTGTGGGGCGAAGATCGTTATAGTCGTTGCCATCAGCACCAATGGCAAGCGATTTAATTCTGAGAAGTGCATTTTTAAGGACATCCTGAGAAACTGTGTGAAATTCAAAGATAGTCTTGACGTTAGTACGCCTATTGCTATAATAGTAATCCAAAGTGTCATAGTCTATTGATGAGCTTGCTCGAGAGATCTGAAGAACATGGTTATTTATCTCGTCCGGATTATTCAGCTGATCGGGAATACAACCTGTTTTTTTGTTGCTAATATTTAAATTTAATAATTTTTTCCAAATCACTTTAGTTTGATTGATATTTTTATCAATACAGTATTTCAAATAACTTTTCTTTTCATTATATACGTATATGGCAATATTCGTGTGAGTTCTCATGTGTTTATAATTTTCCAATTGGCAGCAGTTTTGTTTTTCTTAAATTTCCGGAATTTTTCGTTTTTTAGTTTAATCATGCGTTTTATATTTTGAGACTTCAGATACAGAGTGAATCCATAGGAACGAAGCTGGATGAACAGCTCGGTGAAAAAGTAATCAAGTCTGGCCGCAAAATCACTCTGTAATTGCCGTACACCTGAGTAACTGAAATTTTCAAACGATAACTTATCCAAACAGAAACGTCACCTCATCTAAAAACTCCCGTTCGATTCTGCCATTGAACCAACCTAGAATTTCCATCTCGATGATCGATGAGCGCATATCTCCCACCATAATCAATCTTCTAACAGTCACAGTTACCTGAGGAGAAACTATAGGGCTCGGTAATTATCTACGTTACGTTTCGTCCTACAAGTACACAGAACGCTGTAGGTATATTCTGCCGGCCGTGTTCAAAGCATTGTCAACTCTGTGTGACATTGTAATGTTCTTGAAGTCGTGCCCATTTGGAATTGATATTTGATGTACCGAGTATTGTAATAATAATGAACTGGCTGAGAGATTAACTGTCAATCTATTCACCTGAGACAGAGTTGGATAAGGCGCGACGTGTCCTCTACTAATGGATTGTGCAGTTCCGGTGATTTTAAATGAGAAGTTTATGTTTTCCACGTTTATGTAAGTATTTTCCAACAAAGACAGCTCGGTTCTTTTCTAGTATCTAATATCATAGTAATTTGTATGTAATATGATAGGGAAGAGTTGAGAATTAGAATTTAGGTGGTAATTATATATGGCTTTTAATGAATCAGATATAAACCGAACTTTAATTAACATAAATGAGGACCTTCAGGTTCTTTATGAGCTAACAAAGAAATATTGTCTCTCCATCAACGCCACTAAGTCTAAGGCTTTACTATTTGGTAAAAAAAAAGAATCGTGAACTATACTTCAATAATTTAGACATTTATTTCGGACAAGACAAAATAACTTTTACAAACTCCGCTAAAAATTTAGGGGTTATTATGGATACAGATCTACGCTTTTCCCAGCATGTCTCTCTTATAACCAAAAGGGCATTCTCATCATTGAAACTGCTATACAATAGCAGAACCGTAATAACCAAGACAACAAAAATAATGTTGTGCGAGTCTTTAGTTCTTTCTCACCTTAGCTATGCAGACTGCGCGTACGGCCCGTCATTGCTACATCGAGATAAGGTGCGCCTTCAGCGTATTCAAAATTCTTGTGTCAGGTTTATTAGTGGTATTAGAAGGCGGCAGCCGATATCTCTTCACTTAAAGAACTTAGGCTGGCTCAATATAGAGAAAAGAAGGTTCCTTCATCGATCCGTACTATACCACAAGATATTCAATACTGAATCACATGCTATCTTTACAAGAAGATCAAGACCCGTACAGAAGTGCATAGTCGTAACACGAGGTTTAAACGTCATCTCTCACTACCTAAATTTAAAACTTCAAATTATAAGTGCTCTTTTTCATATGACATAGTTAAGGTTTACAACTCGCTGCCTGATAGAATTAAAGCCCCATCAATTTTGAGATTTAAGCGAGAAGTGAAGACTATGTTGAGACTTGAGATGAATGACTTAAATTTAACACTGCACGCTGATTTGCCAATTATTCCTCTGTACGTCTTTTTCATTTGATCTTTGATATTTTACCTTCATAAGATATTAGCTACAACTTCT